CGTAATTTTACCGTAAGTAATTATAAAATTGAATTTGACAGTAATTTTGCATCTCTAACAACAATATATGCAAGTATCTTTTCGCAGTCACTAGCGACAAATTTTTGCTGTAGCGAATCACGATAGATTCCGATTAGTCATTTCTGATTATTCTAATTGAAGGGGGGGGGGATGATTCATGCAATATCGTCATTTGCAACGTGATCAGTGTGTATGCGTAAGTGTGCATACACATAAAACTGATATATTATTTATGCAGTCGCGCTCACTGTGAGTCTCGCGTGACTTCTTAACTTTTCTGATACCTTGAACTTTATATCAGACTAAAAAATGTTAGATAAAACTTTTTCATATTCAGTAGGCAAAGGATACATTATCGTGCGATATGAAATAATGTGATGTAGTCTTGCAGAATCGTTTTCGAAAGCGAGGATTCACTTTTCGCCAACGGGCTAATTTTTCGAGTTAACCGTTGCGATACATGCACAATGTTGAGATCAGTCAATTTATAAAACTAGACCGTAACAAAGTAAAAGTCGAAAGTCGCTGTGCTCAATGTAGACACGACGTTTAAATTATTATATTATATATATTTTAGAAAATATATATATAAAGCATGTCACGGCAAAACGTTGTAAGTGCGAAAATACGCTTTATTGTATTTATAGGTTGTGAGTGCTGTGTTCTATCACATATTAATATTTGGCATAAAAATACTGCTAAGCGAAGAAAAATGGGTAGTGCAATTCAAAATGTTGAAAGTTCATTATGCAATTGACATTTTTTCTTAGATTTACGTTTTGATTTGCATTTTTACTTAGACTTATAATTAGGGCAACCAAAATATGTATAGGGCATCTTTCTTTTTATTTGACTAATAAAGAAATAAACTAAATACAAATTTGTTTCGTAAGAAATTATGCATTTTGAGCTCTATATATATTAGCATATTTTTGTATATTTCACACATAAGAGCATATTTTTGCATATTTCGCCCACACATGCACAATATTTACATATTTTATCTATTTTTATTGTATATTTCACATTGTTTTCTAATTTAAGTTTATGATTACGTTATTATGAGTAAAAAACTTAATTAATATTTTGAAAATTTACGATAAAAAATAATTTTCAAATGCATACAGTATAGTATGCGCCATTAATTTTTTAATATGTCTAACATTATTACATATATCAGTATATTAACGTTATAGTCTGAAGATAATTAAAAACTTCTGAGTATATGGAAATTAATGAATCATAAAAAATCCCATACGTTACGCAGTTAATATAATCTAACGTGTGTCAGAAATTTAGTCATCAGTCCAACAAAGTGAGATAGTTGATGATCGATGAAAGTAAATTGCAACATATTTTTAAAGCGGAACATCCCAAAATACGATAGATTAAATTGAAAGTGAGCTATGACTTTCCTTGTAATCTTCTCTTAGAAAGTAATCGAATCCATAAACGCATTTCGCGAGACAATTGTGCGCGACTAAGGAGTGAGAAAAATGAGCTGAGACGGTCGTAACAAAGTTGTAAACTTTCTCAGATAATGAAAAAAGCACTTAAAGCTTTTGCTCTCAAGAAATATTATTTTTTACATATATATATCTTCCGTATATGAAATTTATTTATCTCAGCAGGTCTACGAAAACAGCGATTACCATAAAATAAATTAAAAATGTACTATAAAATATCAATAAAATCGTCTCTTATAAATATCTAACTCATATAACGATTCCTAACTACAAATATTATTTCCGTTTCATTTATGTCACGTATGAATGTGGTCGCGAAAACACTGGGAAATTCGCCCTCGTACCGGGGAATTTCATATTAGCGGAAGCAAAAACGCAGAAAATGACAAAACGTGGTAATTACAGTAATTGATTTCCCGTTGTAAAAGTAGGATGTTATTGTGGAAAGCATCTCGGTTAATTTTCCGCTTTATTTGTTTCGCAAATGAAAGCGATCATTTTTCTCCTGAGTGAACAAACTTTGTTCCTTCACACAGTCCAAGACAAAATGTCATGTAAAAATAGATTTTGCAATTGTCCTTTTACTAATAATTTCCGGTACTTGTAGATTAATCCCAAATGAATCTGTTTTGATACATTTACTTTAACGAATCGTGTTCTTCTAAAAAATATTTTCCTAAATCTCTCTCTCTCTCTCTCTTGTTTACTTCTCTTTACGCTTTACTTTTATACACTTCGTTTTATTCGATTCGCGCCTGATATTATTTTAATATTTATAAGCTATCAGCCTTGTACAGCTGTAGATTAACATGTTATTACTTGGAGTTTCTCCTGAAATATAACTATATTTTAAAATAAAATATTTTATAATATTAATAAAATTACATACATTTATTGTAATGTTATATTAAGAAATAGTATCTAAACACTAAAAACTAACTAAGAGTCGTGGATATTATAATGGGATTTAAATCAATCGATATTATTTTAAAAATCAAAGTTGACTAAGCAAAGACAAGATGCTTTGAGTTTCTGTAAATTTAAGTATTGAGAAAATTTTAAATTTGCCAATACATTGGACCGTTTAGAACGTATTTTTATTGATAAATGCACTGTTTTGTTCTAAAATTCTATAATATATGTGAACTATATACTAAATATATACTAACTCTTTATAAGCGCGTTTTGAATAAGTTTAAGCTCACGTTATTGATTTCGTATTATGTAGCTATAAACTTTTGTTATTCAACATAAATCTTAAGTGATTTGATGATAAATAGAAAGAGGCCGCAGGAGAAACTACGAGAGGCACGTTTTTCCATAAGTTTAATTTTACTTTTCGTCATTCGTCGCCCAGGCCCGCGCGGGCGATTACTTTCACTTAAGTCAAGCTTAAAGCGTGACTTACAAATTCAGTGCAATGGTGACAAATCTGTTGGTATGCACGACTTAATCTTGATATTATATTTAGATTTTCAGAGAAAGTGCGAACGGGAATTCTCGTCATTCTCGAATTCACTCTATTTCCTTCCTTATTTTGTTTTTACCTTGGTCGAGAATAATTATAAAATAACACAAAGTCATTGAGGAATTTCTAAAAAATCTCCACATTTAATAGACATTTCTGCAACGCGGTTCATAAGTATTAATGTCGTCATATGCATTAATATTTTAGCATATGTTGCCATGTTATTGTAAATTTGCTTTTTTGTCACGACTCCTGATGACAACAAAATACCTTCATGTTACAATCACAAATCAATTTGTTGGGGAAGCGAACTAATGTTAACAAGGTGCTGTCAGTTTGCAGTAGTCTAATGTCGAATTCACGCGAGTACAACCTAAGACGCACAATGACGAAGCACTTTGTCTTGAGTTTCTAGAAATTAATTGCTTTAACAGTTGATGGCAACATGACGGCAACTTTACAAACTATCTGGCTTATCTGGGTTAGAAATACAGATTTCTTGGCATTTTTTAAATAATTAAGTATTGATGATAATAATAATATTAATTTATTGGACAATATTTAGAAAATAGTTTTAATTTATATTAGATACTTTGTCTTTTGTAGATGTGACATATTAAAATATTTATAATCTGTCCGAGCATTTCATGTGTGGCTTATTTTAATAATTGTTAGCGATATTAAATTTATTATACGCATGTTATTTTGTCGTGTTATTTTTCACATGTATGCATTAATGACTGAAAAAACAAAAGATTAATTCGACACGTGACGTTTGCCACGATAACTAATTACGCTAATTTCAAGGATGATTATTAATTATATCTCGTGCAAACTGTATACAATAGCAGCTATATGAAACATGATGCACTCTCGCGACTGAAGTTTATTTAAAATGTAGAAAAAGATCACGCGTACCTTTGTCTTAACAGTGGATCCACACCTACGGTTGGCTCGTCCAGAATCAGTAATTCTGGATCGTGCATGAGGGCTACTGCAAAAGATACTCGTCTCTGTTGACCGCCACTAGCATGAAAAAAAATATCCGATATTAACTTATCAATAATATATAACAAGAATTTTATTATCCACTTTTAAACTGAATTAAAATTTGCGTCTCATCGTATTTTGTTTTTACAAGAATGAAAATGTTTTTTTTTAATAAATCGTTATTATTAAATAATTTTATTATTATTTTTGCATGTTAATATAATATACGGGAACCGAAGAACGTTCCGCTTACTTCATCGCGGATGTGAAATATACATACCTGAGATTCTTCACCAAACGATTCTGCGAAGGCAGATCGAGAAACTGCAGCAAGAAGCGCAGCCTCTCGACGATCTCGGCCGTGCACATTCCGAATATCCAGCCGAAGTACATCATGGTCTCGCGGATGGTAAACTCGCCGTAGAGAGCGATTTCCTGTGGCATATAGCCAACCCTTTTTCCAGGCACTCCGGAGCCCTTCGTCCCGGGTTTGCCACCTAGCACCCAGATCTCCCCTGAATTTAATCTCCTTCGGCCGACAATGCAGGATAGCAGGGTTGTCTTGCCGCATCCGCTAGCACCCAGCAGACCGTATCTAATACAAATAATTCGCAATTTATTTCACGACTACCATCAACATTTGTGAAATCGAAACAAATAATTCGTTTTAATAAGAACGAACGGTGCTACGCTAATGAATTTATATGGAAAGAACGATTTTGTTGAAGAATCTAAGCTTTAGCTAAATACAGATTTGAAAATAATTTTGTTAGACCATAAAAAAATTATATACGAATGTCAATGAACAATGCTGAACAAATTCTTTAAAATTTTTAGAATGAATCTCACTTTGAAAAGTAAAATCTCACTCTTATACTGGGTACCTGATAATTAACGATAAAACTCTCACATAGCGGTAGAATGGATTAAACTGAGTCGAAAAGTCCCCTACCATTTTGCAATTTTCGCAATAATTAACAAGATATTAATTACTAAAAATTGCTAAATATACAGGGTGTTTCCAAATTAAATGGCAAAACTTCGGGAGCGTGTAGAGGAGTAAAAAACTAAGAAAAAAAGTCCTATAGACATATGCTCCTTTTTGCTTTGTTTCGCAGGAAATCACGAAAAAAGAAAAAAATATATTTAATTTATTATTTTAATTATTTTATTTATAAACTTTTTAATGAAGATTTTGTTCGAAATGTGCACCTCTTGCAGCAATACAAGCATTGCATCTGTCAAACACGGCTCTTGTAGCAGCCAGGCACTGTTCTTGCGATATTCTGTTCGCTGCAGCTACGATACGATTTCTCAAATGTTGCTCTGATTGAATAGGCGAAGAATAAACTTCTTGCTTCAGAGTACCCCATGCATAGAAATCTAATGGCGTTAAGTCGGGCGAACGAGTTGCCCAATGTACTGCTCCTCCACGTCCAATCCATCGTTGTGGGAATTTTCTATCTAACCAGGTTCTAGCGACTCTGCTGTAATGAGCAGGGCATCCATCTAATTGAAACCACATTTCAGTACGTTGTTGTAATGGGATGTTTTCTAAATAGTCAGAAAATTCATTCTCCAAGAAATTTAGAAAACGGTCCCCATTTAATCTTGCAGGTAAAAAAAACATTTTTTTTCGATTTCTCTGAAACGGAGCAAAAACGAGCATATGTCTATAGGACTTTTTTTCTTAGTTTTTTACTCCTCTACACGCTCCCGAAGTTTTGCGATTTAATTTGGAAACACCCTGTATATATATTGATCTTCAATATTTTTTTACTTAAATACTATCAACTTTACAGAAAAACAGCAAGCTACAAAAATTTTTTATTTTCTTCTCATAGAACTCTAAGAATTTTTTCAAAATTTTTTATCAATTTTTTAATACTGCATTTTCTTATTGGCAACTATATTTATCAACATGAGAAAATACGGTATTAAAAAATTCTGAAAAAATTCTCAGAACTTTATGAGAAAAAAACAAACAATTTTTATCTCTTGCTATTTTTCTATAAAATTGATAGTACTTGAGTAAAATTTATTGAAAACCAATATTCAGCGATTTTTAGTAATTAATATCTTGTTAACTATTGCAAAAATTACAAAATGGTATATAATAATGTGTTACGTCCAAGCTCTCGGAAGGTTTGATTGAAGGAGATAAGGAGGGAAATGAGAGGGTGTGGAAGGACGCTTAGACTCAGTCTCTCAGGTGTATGCGCGTAGAGGCGAACACCCGAGAGTCGAACGTATCTTTTATTGCTCTGGAATATGGGTCAGCGTCCCGAAGGGACCCTATGACACCTGTTCCCTTTGAGCGAACGTCGGTCCTACTTTCGGGTCAACTTAATCCTTTTTACCCAGGACTGGACCACGTGCGAACTTAAGAATGCTAGTGGGAATACGGGATACGAGGGGTTTTAAATAAATGCTCTATTGGGCAAAGATGTTCATTCTAAAATTAACATAAATTTATTATAAAATCATAATAAGAAAATAAAAAAAAAAAGGATTATAACTAATATATGGATATTATCATAATGAATTAATAAAAAAAAATTATAAATGGTATACGGATTTTATAATAATAACATAAATAAAAGAAGAGATTATTAATAGTACATGGATATTATATAAATGAAAATAATAAAAAAAGGTTACAAATAATACATGGATATTATATAAATTATAGTTAACCTAAACTGAACGGTATGTGCGCGCGCGCGCGCGCGCGCGTGTGTGTGTGTCGCGTTTACAATTATACTGACTTTACTGACTTCTAACTGACTTCTAACTGACTTGGTTCTCACTGACTTTATTGACCTCTGACTGACTTCTGACTGAATTGCTTCTCACTGACTTTACTGTCTCACTACTGACTGACTATTGACTTTTCGTTGCTGACTTCTAACTGAGAGACTAACACTACAGACTGAATGACTGATTGACTACTATTGACTTGCTTCTCACTGACTTTACTGTCTCACTACTGACCGACTATTGACTTGCTTCTCACTGACTTTACTGTCTCACTACTGACTATTGACTTCTCGTTTTATACCTCAAAAAGGGGCGTCTTTTCCTTTGTCCAAGGCAATTGTTAAGTTGCAATGTCAAGCTGTGATTTACGTTTTTTCTTAGGTCTTATCGTGGTTAATCTCGAGTGCTTTAAAGGGGAGGTAATTTACGATTTTCTCGAGTCTGCGGGAAAATTGCTCCGAGTGGATGTCAAATTTTATGCCGCGAAAAATATAACTGGGTAAACCATTATTCGTGACGTTTAGTCAGTTTTCTTAGGATGTTCGCGTGTAGGGCAACCATTGTCAATCTTAAGTCTGGTCCCAGATAACGTTAATATGGGGTTTCTTTGGAGCATTTTATGTCTTGGCGCGACGTGGCGCCGGCTTTATCTTTACTTGATATGGAATTGTTAGTCACCCTCGGGTAGCGGCTTGGGTGTTTGCTATTTTCTCATATGGTCATATTTTGCAATCGTACCGTTTCTAGCCCTGCGTTTTTACCTAATATGGAATTGTTAGTCTGCCTCGGGTGGCAGCTAGGGTATGACGCAGACATATGGATTTCGCAAGCCTAGCGTTTCCAGCCTCGCATCAGCGTTGTTGTTCTTTCCTTTTTGAGTGGCATTTATGAGTTTTCGTGGAAGCTTTTTAGGCTTTCTAATTCTTTCAGATTGTTAACAGGAGATTGCACTCGAATCTCATAAATGCCATCATCAGGCGCGGCGTGGAGCCGTCTTTCGAAAGAAAAGAATCGTGGCGTCTACGGGACGTAACAAATGATATATGGGACTTTTCGACTCAGTTTAGTCCATTCTGCCGTTATGCGAGAGTTTTATCATTAATTATCGATCAAACACCCTGTAGATTGAAAATTAAGCCACTCTTTTTCAAGATTGGCTCAATTTTTACTCTTTAGAGTGAGATTTTACTCCAAAGAATTTAGAGAGAATATTTTAACATTAGAACAATCAGTTTAAACATCCCACGTAATTATTTTAATGGTCTAACAAAATTATTTTCAAATCTGTATCTATAATTAAATTTTTAAATATTTTAGCAAAACCGATTTTCCGTATAAATTTTATTTTGAAGAATGCAAGAAAATAATAACAAATTAGTAGAAAATTTTGATATCTTAAAATTTTACTAAATAAGAAATGCGTTTGAATTCAAGACACCCTATATAAGAGACTAAGCTTTACAAAAAAACAAGTTGATCTGATGAAAAAAGTTTATGTGTACACATCACAGAAGCTTTAGCCTTCGAGACCGTCTTTGGATGAATAGACAAATCAATCACTGCATTTACATTTGCAATTTTCATCAGAATGCTAAGAACGAAAGCGTAGTTAGTCAACTTGAATAGTCATGGTCCTTGAAATCCAGGCAAATACAAGTTCTCAGGGATTATTCGTAACTATAATACTAACAGTTTTATCGGAAATTGAACGACGCAGTTGTTTACATGACTGATAAGCGCTCACGCAGGATTCTTGCGTCAAACGGAACAAAACCGTCATCGCGGCCATCATGAAGTGCATGCAGTTTGTCAAAAAAATTCATTGTGGTATAATAAAGGAATAATTAAATAAATAATGAATAATTAAATTTGAATTACAATAATGGGATCAACTAGAGGCTAAACGCAAACGTGACGTAATCGCGGCGAGATGAGGTTGAAAACATGGAACTTCGTACTAAAGTGAATGAAAAAATTTTTATTGATTTGTCTTATATCTTTTTCCTTAATGCATATAAGACATTTCATGTCAGCATCTATTCTTGACATTCTTTTTCAAATATGGATTCTTGTTCAATAAAAGATATGTTCCAAAGGCTCTACTTGAAGCTCGCAACACTCATGAGCATTATTTGTCTTTGTTTAACAATCGGTGAACAAAAAGAAGGAAATGATTCTTAGAGTGTTGCGAAAGTCAAGTAGAACGCACATAAAGACTGATTAATTATTTAAGTAAGGAAATAGTAGAGACTTGTATCATTATTTATGAACGTTGATCATAACAATCTATTTCTTATTGTTTGGAAATTTCACAAAAGCAGATTAGATTCACTTTATACAGTAATTAATCAAAATGAATAATATGATTTTACTACAAAAAAATCGATACGTTTCCGACACGATCAAAACAACATAAGTTTTTTCGATCTTAACGTGTTAAGTGAACGTGTAATTAATAGTTGATTTATCATACGAATTCAAAGGAAGTCTTACGTAAACATTGATTATTCTGAAATAGTGATATTTTCATAATTATAATTTGTATAAAAAATATTTTAATGTCTATATATATATAATAGTAAAATAGTTACTATATATAATTAAACGAAATCGTGGAATACCAGAAATATAAAAGAAACAGAAGAGTTTTCTTTGCAATATTTGCAATATTTCTTTGCAGTATTTTTTACAAATTTAGTTTTAATATCATAAATGAAGAATATTCTCATATGTAAGGTGTTTAAGTATTAATTATCTATAACTGCGAAAAGATTAAAAACAAGATGTCCTCGATTAGCGTCTAAACTTTTTTAAGCACACATAATTTCATCAAAGGAAAAATTCATTTAAATAATAAGTCAATGTATATAATAAAACTAAGTGAGATACTTAGGCCCGTTTTCACAATATATGGTTACCTAAAGATTAAAGGTTACCAACAGATTCATCAATGAAATTCATTCATGAATTTCTTGGTTACCTTTAACTTTTAGGTAACTATATATTGTGAAATCGGGCCTTAATGAGTTATTTAAAAATCTCATCAAATTCTGTACAGATATGTTTGTGTTGGAAAACAAATATTAATCATCGGAGTTAGAAAAATAATATAGAAGGAAGATTTTTTTCTACAGGCACAATATTTAAAATATAATTGTTGGTATATTTTTTACGTATTATTGCAAGTAACTGTTAAATTGTTTGATAAACATTGGCTACATTCTGGAAGCGCGCTATTAGCGCTATTACGTCATTTTGTCCTTGTTTTATGTACAACGAATGATAAGAATAAAATAAAACATAATAATGCAGATAACGTGCGCTCCTTGAATATAGTGCTATTGCATTTCGTCCCAATTTTTAGTACGGCGCAAAAGTTGTATTATTATACTTTTAGCTTCGTACGCTTTGTGTTTTCGCAATACGTACATAATTATGGTTTCTGGCACAATTTAGACTAAAAGAAATGGTACGACTCAAGATATATAATTTAAATTGTTGTTCCAACTTTGTGGTGATTAACACGAAGGGTACATAAATCGTATATCTCGATCGCATAGCTATTACGAAACACACACCGAAATTATTATAAGGGATATTATCTGTTTTAAGTGTTTCAATTTCCTAATAGCTACGTAGTGCACATTGTTTCGCATTATGAAATAACTAAAATCGCGATATATCCTTATCGCAAATCGGGATCTCGTGATTTAAGCCATGTATTTACCGCGGATGAAGGATCGGATTAATTAATTGCGCACAGTGCAGGATTAGTCGTTCACAATAAATGGTTCGTTAAAATAGAAAACGAGTTTCTCACGTCGCTTTCTCGATGTAACACATTAGGCAGAGAGGCATAAACACGCACAATTTTTCGCGATTTTGATCTTTATTACGTGAGGAGAGTTTAAAATCAGGAAGTTAGGCAATATCTTGATGGGAACAAATTCATAGCAACATTAAACATACACGTAATAGAAATATAAAAGAAGCTATATTATTACGATTATTATTATTTCGTTGATGTTATCCTGCTTCAAAAAAATTTACGTTGAACATTAAACATCTGGCAAAATTATCAAGTTGTGCATATTAAATGTTGAATTTTCGCTAATTGAAAATGTTCATTTTAACCATATTAGTTTTATTGTTAGCATATCTTGTATATATTTTTATGATTTTTCTCTCTCTTTCTCTCTCTCCTTTACTTTCTCTTTTGAACAATAATAATAAAACTAAATAACTTAAGCAAGAATTAGTAATTAGAAAGATCAAAAAACACGAGCAACGTTTATTGGATCTTTAAAGATAAATTAGTTCATTACAACATACATTAAGAATTAAACTAGTTTTTTATTTATAAATTAATCGGAAACGTTTTGACTGTATTAAGTCTTCTTCAGTCCATATACGAAAAATAATTAAAAATTGGAAAGAAAGATACAATATATCAAAAACATGAAGTTGTATCACAGATTCAGATCTTTCTTTCAAATTTTTATATAAATTGAAGAAGACTTAATACAGTCGAAACGTTTCCGATTAATGTATAGATAAAAAAACTAGTTTAATTCTTAATGTATATTGTAATGAATTAGTTCATTTTTAAAGATCCAAACGTTGCTCGTGTTTTTTGATCTTTCTAACTACTCATTTTTGCTTAGCAAACTCGAACTAAATATTTTACATATTTTAATTTAAATAACTTAAATTACAAAATCTTACATATCCTTATTCATCGAATTTGTCACCAACAGGTTATTATATTTTTAGATATTTTCTAAGAAATAAAATTTTTTTAATAAAGACGATGTCAAAAGAGCTAGAGAACAGTCCATCGATTCTAAAAAAAATATAAATCTTTTAAGAAATGGCATTTATTGCAAAATCGTTAGGAGAAATGTAATAATACCAATAGAACTTAATTTTTTTTAATTAAATAAACTATCTTTTTAAAAAAATGTTTATAATGTTTCAATTATTTATTTAAAAATCTGACATTTTTTATATGCATCAACCTAACATGTTTCGCGGGATCCTTATTAAATAATCATTCGATTTTTATTAAATAATCATAATACTTACATCGAGCCCTTAGCCACTGTCATGCTGAGGTTCTGTATGACATGGTTCGGATTCTTGCTGCTACCGTAAATCTTGAAAGCGTGCCTGACACTGACCGCCTGTTGACGATTCCAAGTGGGGTTGTTCAACCCCGGCGTCGACAGTACAGGATTACTCGATGTCACTGTCGCCAAATCCATATTGTCCCCGTTGTTGCTCTGCATCGTTGCGTTTGCGGCACCCGCACCTCCGTCGCTGTAAACGAAAACGCACGTGACGGTAACGAGAAAACAACAGTGGGATTACGGTGGAATAACGCCAATATCTTATATTGCGGTCTTGAACAATAGTGATTCGGCAGAGATCTCTCTTTGTGTCCGCGTATTGCAAGGTACTTGCAGCGTGTCGTTTAAAATTGCGATGCAGAACATCGCAACATCGAGGCGTTAATTGCAATGTGCTCTAGTAAAAGTGAACTATTGCATTGTCTTTTCCGTGAACAGAAGATGTATAATGAAGATATGATTGACAAACGGACCATGTAAATTTTTTTTATTTCGTGTTTTCTTATTTCGTTGAAAATAAAGGAAGTACTTTTCTGACTAACTGATTTCTTTAGAATGTTGGTCTGTCAAAATTTTGTTAAAAATCAAAAGAAACGATTTTCAAAAGTTTTCTTAGAGTGTTAAAAATTTAATACATGATGTATCAAACTATTCTAAAAGGATCCAAAAGTGTGATAACCACGTGAAGTTGTCGTGTGTTACGCGAAGAAATGGCAAGAAACGATTCTGCAAATCTCGGCGCGAATTGCGCGGTATGCGTATAGAAAGAGTTGAGTGATGCGGTTGCGTAACTGGGCACGCGGCTTTCTTTTCGCTTACGCGTGTGACGATTCATTGGGCAATACATGGACATGATCGTGTGTGTGTGTGTGTGTGTGTGTGCGTGTAATTAATATACAAGTGTGTGATCGAAGATGCAAAATATATAACGTATGTGCGATACAGCGGCACGCGCGCGCGTGAATTTTCGCGCTCCCGTTTCACGTACACCGCTTCTTCGATGAACTTCCTCTCGCGATTTCCCTTTCTGAAGGCAATGGCCCGAATTCGTATTTTGCTCATGAGTTCGAAATTATTGTACGCCTTCGATAAAAGATACCTCGTTTTAATTATACATCGTCCAGGAAAGCGCTTCCCCCTCTATTGAGATGTCGACAGACTTCTCTCTTTTTGCTCAACGCATTTAATTGAAAGTGCCGTTGTTTATTACATTTTGCCATTACTATCTGTTGCACAAGTTCAAGCAGTTGAATTAGCTCAAAGAAATCGATCGTCGAACAATGATCTGAATAACATCGTTATCTGCAGAGTAATCGAAGAAAGTTTCAAACTCCATCACTAATAAAAAAAATATTAATTGTAATAGAGAAAACGTATAATTATTACCAACATGCCAACAGCACATTAAATCAGAGAGAGAGAAAGAGAGAGAGAGAGAGTTATATGTTAAAATAAAACACTAAATCAATCGCAATTATTTTTTATTTATAGGGGAAAGTGGGAGAACTGCGAACATCTAAAGGAAAAGTTAAATAAACTCGATTATTTATTAATTATATAAGTCTTTATTTAAAAAATACCAAAAGTTATTTATGTAGTTTAAAAGTACGATAATTAAAATATAAATTATTTTAAATAAAAAAACGAAATTCTTTTTTTCTGTCGTTACCACGAAAAACAATGTCAAATCTTTCTTCCTCCCTCCCTCCCTCCCACCCCCCTCTCTCTCTTTCTTAATTTAAATTGTAGTTTATATTGATAATATAATTATAAATGTGAAATATTGTAATTTAAAGTCAATATTGTTTAAATAAACATTTCTGTAATTGATAAATAATTATTTACTTTATTTAACTTTTTCTCTTAAGTATTCGTAATTCTTGCACTCTCTTTTCCCTCCAAAATATTGAAAACATATAATTATATTTACCTTAAACGGCGTGTGTTCTTTAATGTTGAAAATAAGTGATACTGAGAATATTTCGAAATAACACTGAATGCGAAAAGTGAATGGCTAATACACTACAATAGTATAATTCGTGTTTGTCCGATATTCACAATTCCCCCACTCTCCTTTACATAGTTCGTGTATATATATATATGTATGTATATTTCATAAATAAACAAACTGGATATATACGAACACCGCGGCCTTAATATCGTGTTGCGAAACACGCATTTTCTGAAGTTTTCACGCATATTTATTCGCTAAATTATCACGCATTGCGTTCGTGAAGGGGAATGATGTGGCAACGTTTTACTGTATGTAATTACTCTGAGTTATAACCGTTGGTATGTATACCCCGTTTCAGACTGTGTAAAAACTGTATCGCGCGTCTGTATCAAAATCGTGAAATATGTATGAGCGCCCTCAGTCGCGCGCGAACAATTTCGCATGTTGCAGACAGCATGAAATTACATCAGGATTCAAATCAGGTTGTAACTGCTTAAAGTATTTAATCAAAATGTAGAAAGTATTGCGGATTCATTATTAATTACCCGTACGGCTGCAATAGAACGGTCATTAAAAATCAATAATTATTAATAGGGAATTTGATTGGATGCACTAGTGCGCACTATAGTATTTATGAAAGCTGTTATTTATTATTTTGAATTTTTTATTTTTTACTTCAGAATAAAATAAAGTATTATCAAATTATCTTACAGATCAAGATTAATATGAAAATCGAGCAAACATTACACTAATTTATTCTGTATAAAGGTAAATTATAAATATTTCGAATTGTAAAATACAAATTTTACTTAACAGCACAACAAAAGATATTGAGGATTTCGTGATTTAATCCATTTTTATATTTATGTTAAACATATATTTTTTATATCAGTTTGTGTACGACAGCTTTAATGTGCATCAGTGCGCACTGAGTGCATCTAATCAAATTCGCTATAAGATGGATTATTATTAAAATCGATTCTGTTTACTGTCATTGATTATCCGATCCTTGCACTGTACGTTTATTAATTCTTTGTAAACCGACGTGCCCTCTTCCATCTTGTAATCTGTTTGCTCGATTTTCATATTAATCTTGATCTATAAGATAATTTGATAATACTTTATTTGATTCTAAAGTAAAAAATAAAAAATTCAAAATGGTAAATCTAATATGGCAAACAGGATTTTAAATAAATAATCTAATTATTATCATAAAACGCGGCTTTAGAGAATTTTTAATTATAAAGTAACATTAAGTTTTTTGTTTTGCTTTATTTAAAGCTCATTAGTAAATACTACGCAAACAGTACTGATTTCTAAATTAACTTTCAAATTCTAATTATGAATCTTTTGATAATAAATTTTTCTTCATTAGAGGTTACCATCCTTTTAAAATTTCACATTTTCACATCGATCAAATTACTTTTTTTTTTTTAATTTAAATTTGGAGGCCAAAATCAAATTTAACAACTCTGAAAACCCTTAGAAGACAAGGTTTCTTAAAAATTTTTTGGCTCAAAGGATTAAAATAACATAGTGATTATATTCTATAATTAGAATCTCTTATCAGATTATTAATCAATTACTTCAGTCTCTCTTCACCTTCAAAACGACATCTACATCTATGTTGACCTGTACTAATGATCAATCTACTTCTTTACTGCAGCGCAAGCGAACAATTATTTCATTAATAACGTTTGCAGATGCAATAAAGAAAATTAAACAATTCATTATTTCTATTAATATTATTTTTTATACAGATATTAAAAAAATAAATAAGAAAACTGACTAATTGATTTTAATATACAAATAATTTATTAAAATTAATTAAAGCGTGCGATAAAATATGTTTCAAAGTTACGAATTAATATTAACTGTGTTAAATTAAAGCGATTTGTGACATCGTCGGTATATGACGTTAATCACAATTTCCTTGATTACTGAAATTATACTTTCTTTGTTGCTGAAAGGAATTATTCATCTTAATAAGATACTAATCGCCAATGATTATACAAGATACACTGCTTTGTAACTTACATGTATTATATTTAATGTAAATAAAATATATTAGTGAATAGAATAATAATATTCCGATTTTAAATAAAAACTGCTACTAATTAGATAATAAATAAAGCTATTGTATATAAAACATAAATTTAATGAATACATTTAAATTTATATATATATATACATATATATATACACTTTTATATATGTTTTTAAATACTAAAATAATATCTAAAACTAATAAATGACTATATCATAATGTAATATGAAATTTGTATTTGATCTACAGAAAAAATTTAATTCATTACTTATATATGCGGGTATTTAATAATTATAGATAATTGTACTGATAAGTTGTCGGTATCACTTGAGGGAATCCATTGCTGCGAGCAAACGATCTTCATCTATGTAGGTCGACGCGCGGTGACAATAATAATCGTTTTTACGATGTTCGAGGATACTGCGAATCTATCGCGATGCATTGCAGCAAACGACTTACAATACCGGACGTGCAGAATATTACGAGAAAGAAAAGGAAAAGACTGGACTGTGGCATTGCGCAACTTTCGCGGCGAATTCAACGTCGTAAGAAAGAACACGAAGACGAATACGCTTCCGAATACGCTAATAATGCGATTGTCAATCGCACGCGATCTTTATAAAATAACAATCGTGTCTGTTCCGATTAAGGGTTATCTTAGATATATAATTCTTGGAATTCACGGCGCGGAGAGTTGTATTTGTGATTTAAGACAGATAAAACACTTGCAGATTTGAATATATATATATATATATATATATACAGTGAATCTCAGAATAAGTGCATGACATATAAAATCATAAAAAGAATTGCATATGGCAATCGAATGAATTTGCACAATTGCCTTCGTGCGTGCGTTGGTAAGAAATGCAGCCACAAATAGTAGCGTTGCAAGAGGCCGATGTGATTCGAGAAATATGCTGTGTTTGCACACCTTTTGACTCTTGCGCATTGATTGTGACGCACAATCATATTAGAGCAGACTCCAGGAATTTTTGCAATGCGAAAACAACATTAGTACCACTAATGTTGAAATAATTCGACGTAACGATGTAATTGGTGTGCTCGTGAAACTCTCGTTTATCCAATAATTATATTAATTGAGATATGATTGCAACATCTAGTGCACATATGTAACGGAAACGAAATTGAGATTGTGAATTAAAGACAACCTTTCTTGTTCACTCTGCTCCTGCGATGTAATTTCGGCGACCGGCAAGGAACTAATTGATGATATATCGCCAACTCGAGCTGCATGTCGTCTAACTTTTCTTACTCTAGATATAAAATAGATTAATACAACCCGTCAGACGGAGAAAATATGAACATGTACATCACACGATTATTACACCACAATTACATCACACATTATGTCACGATTAGCAATGGATTCATTCTCCGATTTCATTTTAGTTTGATTAACAGAGTGTGTCAAAATGCATCTTTAATTTCAACGTTTTGCGAAAGTTATTGTATTTGTCACATTATTGAAAATAATTATTTATAAAATATAAAGAATATAAGGAATAAAAAAAACTCTCGTATATGAAAACATACATCATTGAAATATTTTTCTAATAAATCTTTAATTTAATAAATTTTTTTAAATGAATTATATAAATATTGAATTAAATTTATATAATCATATAAAAGATAAAACTTAATACAGGTATAATATGTAATATATAATATAATATATAACTTGACATACAACATAGTGAATTAAATTAATATCATATGTAATTTCGAGGATTCATATCATTATTTGATTCATATATCATTGTTTATCTCTGAAATGATAATCAGTATCTTCTATCAATAGGAACGAATGAGAATTCTCACTTGAAGCCATTGCTAAGAAATTGCGAATAGGACAAGGATCTTTTACCGATCGGATTGCACTCGCTGCGTAAGCTCGATCTCACTGGGTAATTGTAACGTTGTGGTCAACTTGACGCGCCGTTTGCGAGTGTAATCGTCTCGTGTCTGCGAAAGAAGAAAACCACGTCGCCATTGCAAGCAATCATTTTAACGCGATTAACCTTCGTGTTCCCTTAATAAGTTCGATAAATATAG